ACATTTTACTTACTAGATGACTGGTTTATTATAAAAGGACAGAACTCAGGAAGACCCAGATGGAAGAGAGGCATTGGCAGGGTATGGAGGGACAGGGCTGGGAGTTTCCATGTCCTCTCTAGCTGAACCACTCTCCCCAGTCTCCATGTGTTTGTCAGCTCAGAAGCTCTCTGAACCCCATCCTTTTGAGGGTTTGCAGAGGCTTCATTACATAGGCATGGTTGATTAAGTCGTTGGCCATTGGTGAATGATTGTAATTCTCAGCCCCTCTCTATTCCCCAGAGGTCTGGGGTGGGTGGGAGGGCGGGTGGCACGGAAACCACTTGGTTGATTCCTCTGGTGTCCCCATCTCCAGGTGCTTTCCAAAAGGCATCTCATTAACATAACACAAAACATCTTAATCATTCTCAAGACTTGGGAACTTCCAAGGGTCTAGGGAGTGGTATGTCAGAAGATCTCCATAAACTTCTTATGATCAGTCACAACAATACAGCAGGTCCTTGAAAAGAGAGGGCACACACCTATTTTCGAAGCCTCAGTAATAAGTCGGTTTTCCGCAATGTATGGATATGTATATAGCCACTAAGCAGGCCTATTTAGCTTCTGGCATATTCTTTTAAGAGTCATTTAAGTCACTAAGACAATTACATATAGAAAAAGTGATGTGTTCATTTACTGCTTTAGTTACCTGTGTTCTAGAATAGGCAAGGCCTTGTTATAGGTGCTATGGATGGAATAAAGTACAAAATTGTGTCTCTAGAGAGTTCATCCTTTAATTACAAGAGGTCCTCTCAAATTTTCATTGCTTTAGAGCTGATAGTCAGCTTCTTCCCAACCCAAATGAACCAGGCTGATAGGATATCTTGATATGTTAACCAGCCCATTCAAAACGACTTTTGCATCTGACTCTTGTCCCTAATCACCTTCAACTGGCCCTCACTGCCATGCTGTCTTCTGTCACCTGTCACATTCATGTCACTGCCTGGTAGTGTAGCATGGTCTTTCCTGTCAAGGACCTAATCAACATTTTAAATGAACTCATGGTTTTAAATATCAATTTTTCTTGGAACCAATTTTCTTCAAAAAGTTAAAAAAACTTAAGTCAGGTAACAGGAGAGTGAAAATATATTGCTTTTAGAAATTACCGAATTTCAAAAAAAAAAAAAAAAAAAGAAATTACCGAATTTCTGGTGTATAATCCGTTACGAGCATTGCTTCTGTGGGGTATCTAGTGAAAATTTGATTTCTTTTATGTTTGCATTTTCTGACAATTCACTTCACTCCTTTTCTAGGCACACAAAGGCCAACTCAAAACCTGACAGCCCACTTCTTTCCAGAGGAAATTTGTAAACTTGTCTCCCTTCCTACATGTTTCACTGACACAGCTCACTAGAGAGATCTGCTTTTATAAAAAGTTAGAGCCAAATTTCATAGCCTTTACTTTTTGTTCTACTGTAGCCATCTAAAGATGGATGCTTTTCTCCTCTGCTCAGTGGATTGAAATTTAATATTGGGAATTGGTCAAATCTAATCATTTCGATAATGAAAGCTGAACTACCAAGACTGCAATTTCCTTTGTGGGGGGACGTCAATTTCTAGTCCATGACATGCGAGTGTACATGTAATGAATAGTTCTCCTGCCCAATTTACTTCAGTCTAATATTGAGTGTTGGTTGTAGGTAAAGGGAGATAAATATCATGTTTTGAGCATGCAAACCCACGTGGCCTACGATGACCTTGGGAAGTGGGGAAGGACAGAGAAAGATGTGTATTCTGGTGCTCTGTGTCCTGGGACCAGCTTCCCTTTGTCCTTTGTGCTACAGTCTGTGAGGCGAGTGTGTGACCCTCACGGAGGGTCAGTGCCTGGGGAGAAGGCATTGGTCCCATGGCAGCAAACACAAGCTCCTTTGTTTGAGAGAAGCATTTTGTTACCGCGTGTGAATGGGAGGGAGGCCGGGTGTCACACGGCTCCTGCTGGCTCTGCAAGCTTATTAAAAGCTCACAGCATTCCAGGGGCAACTGTGCTAACTCACAGGAACTAGTCCTTTTCTTCCTTCTCAATGGACTTTATTGAAGGGTCCCAGAGAAAAGATGAAAAGGTAGACCACACTCGGGTGCTGTAAACCTGCCAAGGAGGAGAATAAGTCGCCATTTCTTAATCTTCCTATGATGCTGGTCTAAAAGGGTCTCTTGAGACAGTAACAAGACCAAGTCAACAATCCCTTTGATAATCAAGTCCCAGAGCACTGGGGTTGGAATACAGCCACAATGAAGTGGTCCTTGGTTTTAGAAATCTTCGATATCCTTAGGATACTGGGGCATGACTTTTTTTTTCTTTTACAACTGACCCTCTGTGTCAGCCATGCAAACTACACTGAGCTCATCCCTGTTTAACACGAGCAGTTGAGCCAAAAAGCTGGCCTGACAACTTATTTTAACTAATGGGCCCAACAAATGATGACACCCCCCCAAATCTGTGAAAACAGACATCGCCAATGCCTTATCAATATATTCTTGGGAAATGAAAACCCCCGTGCCACACAAAGGAGCCATGAAAGGAAGGGGAATACCTAGAATGCATGAGGTTGTCTAGAAAATGCAATTCAGCTTTGCCTAAAAACGTGACCCATGTCATAGGGAGATACTCATCCAGTCCACAGGCATTTTCCTAAGGCCAGCCTAGGTTTCTGGAGACAATCTGCTCTCTGTGGAGAGAAAAAGAAAAAAAAAAAACCACAAACCCAAACCATACAACCCACTGAAATTTTCTGTGGCCCAAAGTTCTGGTAAGATGTATGTTAAAATACAGAACATGTGGAAGCTATCCTCAGTTGCCTTAAAATCAAGGACCACAGCCACATGAGAGGGATGTGCGTGCACCTACGAAGTTGGAGGGCGACATGAAGCCTATTATTGGCGCTCTACCTGTGACATCCAGAAGCACCTAGAGGTGGGTTCCCCAAAGGGTGAGTGTGTTGGGGTTGGGGTAAAGGAGGAGGCACTGCAAAGCCCAGGAGGCACTTCTAATACACAGCTGCCAAAGTGCTCAAAGTTCTTGAAGACGGTCTCTGATCAACTCCAACCGGCTGGTGGATGCCACAAAAGTTCTCTGAGAAAAGTATGCCTTTTTATGCACTTTGGGCACTTCCTCCCTGCTAGGAATTCAAAGGCGAGAGGCCTGGGAAAAGCCATGTAAGGATGCATGCAACAAGGGATGTACAGAGGAGGGGTGGGCAGAGGGCCAGGCCTGACATGGGCTGGAAGCTGCCAGGTGCCAGGCCTGGAGCCACACACTTCCCAGGGGCCCAGCATGGCAGTGGCATCTGAGTCCATGTGGGCCCACGGGGAAGTTGTCTAAGGAGTTCAAACCCTGGCTTCAAACTGTTAAAAAAAAAAAAAAAAAAAAATCAGGTTTCAGTAGCCCCTGAAGGATGAGGGGCTGGAGCTGAGGGCTGGGGCAGGGAAGGGCTGGCCTTCCCTGAGTCACAGCCAGCCATAGACTATCTTCCTGAGTCTCAAGTTTCAATGCTGTCACTTAGCTGGCGAACATTTCCAAGCATTTTCTTTGAAACAGTATTTTATAAAAGAGAAAGCAAAATCCATAGAAAATGTGAAGTCACCAATCCAGAGAAATACTATTTGGTGATGCCGGCAACTCTGTACTTGACCCCAGGGCCCCAGAGATCCAAGGGCTCCTGTGTGTGTGCTGTGACGGGCTCCCCACCCTGCGTGTGCTGGGGGGTGGGGGGCACAGATGCCAAAGACAGCAGAGCTGCAGGGGACCAGGACCACAGAAGCGGTGAATGCAGGTAAGAACTGGACAGGGCAGGGAGGGAACAAAGTAGCTGCTGACCCTCAGATGACCAAGACAGAAGCCGGAACGAGCCTGTGTTCCGGGAGGAAGCCACTGGCACTTGACATCTCTCCAAGAATCCCTCACCCACTGTCGGGGGTGTGGCCCCCTGGCAGGATGAGGCACCATCCGCTGTTGCTCCCTGCCAGCATCCCCCACTGACGTCTCCACCTAGCAGCATTCAAGGACATTTCGGGGAGATTATAGACTTTTCTTTTTTTAAGTGCTCAAATTAAGTAGACTATGAGAGCTCCTCAAAAGCTTTTATTCTTTCTTTTTTTTTTTTTTTTTGACCTCCCCCCTCCTTGTTCCACACTCCCAGTAAGGAATTTAAAAAAAAAAATTTTTTTTTTTTTTTTTTTTTTTTTAAATAGGCAATTTATAACACTGGGAGGATTTTATTTCAGCGTTTCAGAAAATGTGACTATTCTTGGAAAGGGTTTATCCTTCTACAACTCTGGAGGACAGAGATTGTGTGCTAAATTTTAAAGCCACCGATTAACATTTAAGTGCTTTGGAAGGGCAGTTTTAAAAAAACAAAAACAAAAACAAAAAACCTCTCAGGAAATTCAAGAGCTGTCATCATTTCAGGGGAGAGAGTGGCTTCTGCAGCCCAGGGTGGCTTTGTATATTCTGAAGATGCAGAAAATGTCTTCTGTGTCCCTCTCTGGCCAGGGACAGCTAGGACAGATCCTCTGGTGGACGGCAGCAAGTCTTCTGGCAGAAGGCAGACCAACAGAGAGGGGCCGGGAACTTCTCCGACCTGCCCAGGCCTCACGCAGCAGCACAGCTGACCTGGTACCCATGGTTTAGCTACTGAGCACGTCATCCCGGAAGCGCCTCAGACATGTGTCCCGCCAAACAGTGACACGGAACCAGAATCTGGCATTCGGGGCTCTCAAGGAAGGAGTGACCTCCACTCTCCTTCTACTCAGTTACCTGGTATTCTATGTGCAGTAGACACAGACAGAGTTTTTAGAAGTTAAATAACGTTCTTAAAACACAATAAAACATCGTTACATACAAGTCTCTTTGAAAAGTCTTTCCAAGTCAGTTCTCAAAATTATCTTACAAAATGTTGTGCAAAAATACTGACCTCAAATAAATAGTGGGGACCGAGTGGGAAGGGTGAAACTTGTTTATCATGTTTTTTAAATTAAAAGTTAAAAACACCGGCTGCACTTCAAAGGATCTGCAGGATGCAGTCATGGAGAAGGCTCTGAAAAACCAGCCTTCAGAGTTGGAGCTGCATTGTCAGATGAGGTTTGTTTGTGCTCAGAATTCACAATGGATGCCTCCGCTGAGGTCCTCCACCACACCCTCTTTGACCAGCCTGACGAGGAATCTGGTCTCCGTTGTCACATTATGCATGGTTTGAAAGTTCATGGCAGCCATGCAGAGATTGTCGAAGTAGTGCAAAGGTGTTTTGGGTTGATTGAGGTCATATCCAAAGCCTGCCAAGCTGACTTCATCACACAGGTGCGTGGCTAGGACGACAGCAATGACACCAATGGTGGGCACGTTCTGAAAAAGGGGAAAAGACAAGGCTTAGGGCCATTCACTGCTTTCCAAGTGGCACGCACGCTCTGTCGGTCACAGACGCAGCCGGGGGGCTGCCATTTTATACAGCGCACAGTTTCATTGATCACAGAATCCTGAAGTCTGAATCTAGACTCTGAAACATGGTCTGTGATGTGAAAACCTTAGAACACACCACCGAGAGGTGGCTTGGCAGGTCCTCTTGCACCAAACAAAAATGTGTTCTTTGTAAGACTTCTACTTCCTGGTCTAATACGTGATGACCAGAACCTCAAAGCAAGTCCATTTCCTTTCTGATACGACGAGTATCTATAAGTTCTGCTCTGGAACTAGGAAAGTCCACAGGACTGTCTACCATCCTTCTTGGGACCTGTTTCTGGAGGCCGGCCCTTCCTTGCTGGCTCCTATGGACGGTCTCTGCCTGAGAACAGAGCAGCCTCCGCTTCCACCAGCGAAGACCATGCTCACTTCTCACCTGAAACTACATCCCACTGAAGGCCCTCCTTTGCTTTCCTGGCAAATAACGCTTCTAGGCCATTTTCACATAGACAGCTGCTAAGCCAGTTTCTGCCCACCCTCTGTGTGGGCAATTTTTAGGCCTAAATGAAGGGTATCCACATTTATTCCTTCTAAAAGGTATCCTGCTGACTGTAGCTTAATGTGCCAAATGTCTCAATGTTCTGGATTCTGATATCACCACTCCCTCCCTCACGTCTGCTATTTTGCCCCTTGCCAATCTGGAATCGTGCTTTCTGGATCTCTGTCCCAGTCTTGGGCAAAATCGGTACACAGGGCAGAGAGAAGTACAGAAGGCCCTACAGCAGTCGAAGCACTCCCTGAAGGCCACCGGTTACCTACATGACACTCTCGGTTGCACAGTTTTTCATGTGTAAATGTACCTGCTTTGTTCATCCTACTTGAGTCTGTGGCTTCCCAGAAACAACTCTCCTTTTCCGTCCACTGGAACAACAGTGAACCCTTCAGAGTTGATAGTTTAAATGGATTAAGGACGCTCTACAGAACTCATCATTTGTTCAAAGCCACCTTCCGCTCCTTGATGTGAAGCATCTGCGTCACTCGTTAAAAGAAACTCAACAGTTGCTGAAGACAAGAGAAATTAACCCAAAGGAAGAGGTCTTCCTGTTTAGCCACAGGACCCTAAAGCAGTGTCTTCTCTTACCTGTGGCCGGCTCTGTACCTAGCCCATCGGGAAAACTCAATCAGTGTTTATAGAAGGAGTACGTGAAACCAGCTGCACGGAGGGGCCGTGTATGGAGAGCAGCTCAGAAGCCATGAAGAACCGCTCAGAGCATGCTCTTTCCAGAACGGACCCCCTAGGATCACACCCCCTCATCCACCAGACCTCCCTCCCTGCTGGAAAGCCGTGTGCATCAACACGAGCCCAGTCTGCTGTTTACTTCCAAGCTTTTCTCTATGCATCTCTATACACACATTTTTACTTTTAAACAAAAATGGGACAGTATACATGCTCGGTAACTTGATTTTCTTGTTTATTACAGTATGGAGGTGTTTTCTTATCCATTTGTTTTCCTGCATCCTTAACACTCACACAATACTGCATCAGTTATACATAATATGTTTAAATCACCCCCCTAATGAGAAATGTTCAGGCCATTTTCAGTCCTTTGCGGTTAACATTATGGTGAACGTACTACAATACCCACCTTTGTAGATTTTGCTTTTATCTCTTTTTTAAAGATTTTATTTTTAAGTAATCTGTACATCCAATGTGGGGTTCAAACTCACAACCCCAAGGTCAAGAGTCACATGCTCATGGCCTGAGCCAGCCAGGTGTCCCTTTAATTTTCTTATGATAAAATTTTTAGAGTAAAATTGCTGGGCCCAAACTGTTCACATTCACATTTAAAGCTGATAAGTACTGCCAAACTACCCTCCAATTTATAATTCTACCTGTATTTCTGCCAAGCAAGGACATTACCTAGCCCTTAAATCTTTGCTAAGAAAATAGGGAAAAATGTCACTGTGGCTCTAATTTACTTTTATTTAATTCCTGCCAAAGTTGAACATTTTATCATGTATTTCTTGGCTGTATTAATTTCTTCTTTTGTGAAATGTCTGTCTGTATCTTTTCCCCATTTTTTTTTCCATTGGCCCATCTTTTCTTTTTGATTTAATAAGATCTTATACTTTGGGAGTATTATCATATATATGCTAAAACTTGCCCTGCTTATTTTGTGTTGTTTCTGATATCTTTTGCTGTTCAGTAACTTCATATTTCATGTAATTAAATCTGTTAATTTTTTAAAGGTTACTTTTAAAATAAAACTCTACCTACAGGATGCCTGGGTGGCTCAGTTGGTTGTGTCTGCCTTCAGCTCAGGTCATGATCCCAGGGTCCCGGGATTGAGCCCGGCATCAGGCTTCTTGCTCTGCAGGAAGCCTGTTTCTCCTTCTCCCTTTGCCCCTCCCCCCTGCTTGTTCCCTCTCTCTCTCAAATGAATAAATAAAATCTTTAAAAAAAAATTAATTTCATTTCTTAAAAATAAAAATCTACCTACAAACCACAAATGAGCATTTATATTTAAAAAATACTATGAAATTTAGTAAAGACACAGAGTAGTTGAGAAGACACAGAGATAAGGATAGTGAAAACTCTCTATAACTTCAGAATCTTGCAAAGTCCTCCTTTTTTAAACACTGTTTTGTTGTAGTTGATGTTAACAGTTACATTAAAAGTTGTAAGTTTATGTCCTGGGGGAATCCTATGTGCTCCAATGTGGGGAAACGAAGCAAAGCAACTTTTTTTTTTTTTAAGATTTTATTTATTTACTAGGCAGAGAGGCAGGCAGAGAGGATGGGGGGGAAGCAGGCTCGCCGCTAAGCAAAGAGCCTGATGCGGGGCTCGATCCCAGGACCCTGAGACCATGACCTGGGCCGAAGGCAGAGGCTTAACCCACTGAGCCGCCCAGGCACCCCATAAAGCAATGTATTATATGATGAATCCAATCACAGACCCCAACAGCTGCTGGTGAGGGGCAGAGCCACTCTCCTCTGAGACAGAAACAGCACAGCCTCCTGACCAGAAACACTGGGCCTGGACATGCTCCTGCAGTGGGCAGAACCTACATGGCCCTCTCGGCCTCCCCACAGATAGAGCAGCAGGAGAGCCCGCGAGAGGGCAGAGCCCCTGAGAAAAATGGTGGCCTGCTAAGGGAAGAGCTTTGGCTGTGCTCCCAGTGAGCTGGGCAGTCAAGCCTCAGGCTGTAGCCAGAGCTGGAGTTAGCTGTTACCGGAGCAGCACAAAGAACTAGTTTTTGTTTTAAGGAGACTATTTAGGGATTTGTTTTTCCTAGTAAGCACAGAATGCTTCAAGATTTACACAGGTGTTATAAAGAACATTTTAAATTAGAATTTCACTCATGGTTGGGGGAGCACCTGGGTGGCTCAGTTGGTTAAGCGTCTGCCTTTGGCTCAGCTCATGATCTCGGGATCCTGGGATTGAGTCCCACACTGGGCTCCCTGCTTGGCAGGAAGCCTGATCCTCCCTCTGCTCCTCCTCTTCTCTCATGCTCTCTCTCTCAAATAAATAAAATCTTAAAAAAAAGAGAGAGAGAGAGAATTTTATTTATTGGGAAAACAGAAGAACCTGCCAATCTGTCTACTGGTTACTGGTTGACCACATCTAAGAGTCTAATTCAGTGTCTGCAAATAGTGACCCTGACCAGCCCCAGGTATCTGCTACACAATATCTCAGGCCCCCAGTGTAAGAAGTGCCCCACCCCGACTTCTAAATTCCTTGCTTTCCTTTATATACAGAGATTTTGCTTAAAAGTTTAAGAAGGGGGTGGCCTGGGTAGCTCAGTCAGTTCAGTACCCAACTCTTGATCTCAGCTCTGGTCTTGATCTCAGGGTCATGAGTTTAAACTCTGCATTTAAAAAAAAGGTGGGGGGCACCTGGGTGGCTCAGTGGGTTAAGGCCTCTGCCTTCAGCTCAGGTCATGATCCCAGGGTCCTGGGATCAAGCCCCGCATCGGGCTCTCTGCTCAGTGGGGAGCCTGCTTCCCCATCTCTCTTTCTGCCTACCTCTCTGCCTACTTGTGATCTCTGTCAAATAAATAAATAAAATCTTTAAAAAAAAAGTTTAAAGATGATTTCCACTGCTTTTAAAAAAGTTATTTTTAAAGACACAACTCACAAAGAAACCAATAATAAAGGCATTGCCATCCTCCCGGTATCAGCACCGGCTTTGCAGGAAAAGAATTTCTATTGCAGTGAAAGAACTACAGAGGGCACAGGGGTTCTCAAATTAGGCTGCAAAATAAAACCGCCCAGGGGACTTTGAAAGTCCCAAAGTACAGACAACAGCAGAGAACAGTTAAGTAGAAAGTTTGGGATGGGACCCAAGCATCAATGGAAAACACTGCTCTAGCGGGCAAACTTTACTTACCATCACCTCTAAAGTGATGGTAAATGTCAAGTCTGACTTGAGTGGCCCAGAGTTAAAAATGTAAAGAACTTTCCAGACCACCAAAGTGCCTTTCACTCTGGAGTCCCAGGGTCAGAACATCTTAAATAGTATCTCAGTGACCAAGATGTTAACATGTGGACTATACGAAGGAGATGAGTTACCAAGGGAGAAGCCAAGTAAACACTAAGGGGGCCTGAAGTCAAGATGCAGAACAGCCAACACGCACCAAGCCTGTGATCACTGACTACGTTTCTACACCGGGAGATGCTTCTGGGGATATAACTGAGCCTACGTGAAATTTGTACGGAGGTCTCCCTTCCAACACAGAGACAAACAGTTAACTTTCCATCGCAACAGAAGTACCTTATCTCGGCCCCAGAACCTTGACTGGGGCTCCGAGTACTGAAGGATGTCAAAGGCAGTCTCTTTGATAATAACTGGATTCAAAATCCTGAAGTGTTTCGGCCGTAGTGGGATTTTTTCCGCTACCTGCTTCCAAAAGAAGAGCCGCACCCAAAATGGCTAAGGGAAGAAAGCAAGCAATCATTAGAGGGACTGAATAAAGCTCTCCTGCCATCAGAAGGCGAGCACGCACCCCTGCTAAGCAGCCCAGGAGATGTGGGTGGGACCCCACGTGGGCTGGGGGGCTGCACTCTGCAGCACAGTCCCTGAGATGGACGCGTCTGATGCCCCCACTCAGAGGAGCAACCCCAAAGGACCTGGTTTACGAAGGTGGCACTGGACAAGAAGAGGAAGGGCAGAACCAGCTCTGGTTTGTTTGGAGAAGATATTCCCCAGGGAATGACCCCAAAAAGCATCATGTGTCCCCAGGAAGACCGGGTGAACAGATCTAATTTAAGGGTATTTAAGTGCCATGAGTGTCCCACTTAGATCAGACCCTCCCCCTGCATCCTCCCTCGGCTGACTTGGTCTAGTTCCTAGTTCTGTGAAGTCTCCTGGTAACTGACTGCAAGTCACCTCCCACGTGCTTCATCCAACTAGACCAACTTCTATCCAATGGAAAATCCAGAAGATCATGATAAGCTATATCAGGCTTTGCAGATAGAAATTCTCCATCAGATGGTGCCTATATGAAAAGTCTAATATATCCTATTAACTTTACAGAAAGCTAGTTTTTATGTGCGTCTATAAATATGACCATTGACCACTGAAATTTACTTCAGCATAATGGGTGGGGCGACCATAAAATAATATGATCAATTATTATAACAAACAAAAGGGAATATGGCTGAGTTCATGCAGGCCATTTCCTCAACAGCTGCCCCGCCAGAATTCGGTGCATTTCCTCCAACAAGGGGACTGCCAGCACAACAGTTTTAGACAATCTCTTGAGGAACATTCCTAGAGGTTTTACATATATCCTTTTGAAAATCCGCAATAATGGTTTATATTCATCCCAGTAAATGTAATTTCTGGATTAGCCAAAAGACATGTAAATTCAAACCTGGTGAACACGTTAGGTGAGCAGTAATAACAATTTTGGTCCAAAACCTGATATTCCCATTAAGTGATGATCACAATTTCCATGTGACTTAATCTTAAATTCTGAAAGTAGTTCCCAAAAAGGAGTACTGACGGTTTCTACAAAGGCAGTAGTTATTTAAAAGACAACACAAAAGTATAATTGACCCTTGAATGACACGGGGATTACGGGCACCACCATCTCCTCCCCAAGTAGCTGAAATCCACAGGGAACTTCTGACTCTCCCAAAACTTAACTACTAGTAGCCTACTGCTAACCAGAGGCCTTACCGATAATATAAACAGTTAACACGTATTTTGAGTATGTATTTTTGTATTCTTACAATAAGGCAAGCTACAAAAAGGAAAACATTATTAAGAAAATCAAAAGGAAGAGAAAATGCCTTTACAGTACTGCACTGTGTTTATCAAAAACCATCTGTGTACTAGTGGACCCATGCAGTTCAAACCCATGCTGTTCAGGGGTCAACTGTATACATTCCACTGCGTTTGTTTAAAAACAGAAGTCTGTAATTACAGTTAGAGACCCCTCCACTTTTTGCGAAAGAACACCGGAGAGCTGCATTTCTAGTGCTTACCAGGGTTTCGTTTTTTACCATTGCTTGAAGCCAGTTGAAGTCAACACTCTTAAATAAAACAGCAACAAACAAGTCATTGGAATAATATTCAAGGTCAGACAGTGGCGCGCCCTCTGGATAAGTCATCCTGATAGTAGTTTTATTACCAACATGCTCAGAATATCCTTCAACTGGTGCACTGTTTAACCTATTTGAATAAAAAAGACAAAGATAAATTGACAAAGCAAGCCATCAACTACTTCATCACATCGTGCAAGATCCCTTAGTTGTGTCCCCCGCATGTCTATAGGGCTGGGAGTGAGCTGTGGGTTGGGGGGTAAGGCCTCCCTCCCAACAGCCTCGAGTCCCTGAGGGACACCCACACCTCCTCTATGAATGTCAAGCAATTCCAAATAATCCTGCCATTTTAAGCCCAAACATATTGTATTTTGGTCATCAGTAATGTTTCCTTGAAAGCTTCCCGCTGTGCTCAGATATTAGGGGTTCTTGCCAGAATTTCAGAAAGGCAATCAGAAAGCAAACGGAGAAACCAGACGAGGCAGACCCAAACCACAATTGTAGTGACAGGGTTGGGACCAAGGAGGGCATCAGGCCCAGATGCATCCTTAGAGCAAGGACTTGGGACACTTACAACTATTAGATCAACAAAGGCTCTTCCCAGTGTCATAGTTTTGGAGCAGATTCTAAGAATTCTTTTGAAAGCACCCCCACCCACCTAGTTAAAGAGTTTAGTAATCTCACAGTCTGTTTGGTTCTTCCCTTGTATTATCACACTTGTGTTATCACATCTGTATTATCACACCTAGATCTCGGCTTTCTTCTCTATTCTACTGCCCCTTCTTCTAGATCTGATACCTACCTACCTCTGGATTATCAAAAGATATTATTACACATGAGACCAAATGAAAGGCATGCCCCAGGGCAGTTATTCCCCCCCACCCCACTTTTCTTTTCTTTTAAATTTTTATTTTAATATTATTTTTTAAAATTAATTTATTTGACAGAGACACACAGGGAGAGAGGGAACACAAGCAGGAGGAGTGGGAGAGGGAGAAGCAGGCTTCCCGTTGAGCAGGGAGCCCGATGTGGGACTCGATCCCAGGGCCCTGGGATCATGACCTGAGCCGAAGGCAGATGCTCAACAACTGAGCCAAGCAGGTGCCCCTTTTCTTTTTTAAAATAAAGGACATTATATAAGTACATATATAGAACCTGTATTTTCTTGGTGTTCATTTCCTAATTCCGCATACTGTTCTGTGGTTCTGCAGTTCTAGAATAGAATGTCTTTTTTCTTAGGAAATGCACACGGATTTGCAACTGACTATCAAAGGGTTCAGAAAAGGATAATAGTATAGATAGAAAGAAAATCATAAAGCACTGTGATAAAGTTGTTACCAGCTGGAGAATGTGGGGGGAAGGGTGAATGGGAGGGTCTTTGTACTATTCCTGCAACTTTTCTGTTAAATTTGGAATTGTTTCAAACCTAAAAGTCTGGAATCCTGAACCTGCTTTCTGACTGTGATTTAACTTTGCTCTGTGACTGAATCAAGCCGACACAGTGGAAAGACATACTCATGTGTGCACCTTCCCAGCATGCTGGGAACACTCCTCCTGCCAGGGTGAGGCTCCACACCCACCTTTGCCCTGCCTGCCTCCTCCCTGAAGTACCCAATCCCACTGCTTTGCAGGGCCCCCTGCCTCCCCCCACCACACCCCTCTTCTGGCCCAGAGTGCGCACCGTTGGCCCCCCGAGTTTGTCTCCTCTCTTCCTGTATGAGTCACACATGGTGGGGGAGCACAGGGCCCTGTCTGCCTGCACACACAGCTTTCAGCTGCTCGCATGGGGCCTGGGATTAGGTGCTGAAAGCCTCTGACCGTGCGTCTGGACGGCTGGCATCCGGCCTGGACCCTGGGCCCTCTAGTGCCTCAGCGTCCTCACTGGTGACATTAACCGTGATGGCTTCACGGAGGAATGAGAAGCTCTAAAGCACGTGACACAGCGTCTGGCCCACGGAAAGCATCTGGTGCAAGGCAGCGGTTACCGCCTTCTTTACCCCAACCTTTACAGTCCTCAAAGCCCAACCCCACTCCTACTCCCTCTCCTTACGCCATGCCTGCTTTCTGACCACTGGGGCCTACCCCAACCCTTTTGCCTTTAAACCAGGCTTTTACCCATTTCCTCCATCTCTTGGCTCTCAACAGAGTCTGGTTCTTTCTACAAACACCCTACGGCCCCTGCCCCCTCTTCTTGTGCCCCCCTACCTTCGTACACATTCTCCAAAAATAGGTGCTACCATTTATTGAGCAATTAGCCCATGCCCAGCATTAAATGCTTTACACTAAGTTCTAAGTGCTTTACGTCTATGAACTCATGTTGTCTTCATGGTGAGGCTAGAAGGTGCGTACTGTTACTGCCTCCAGATGAGGAAACAGAGTCCCAAGACAGGTAGGAAACTTGCCTGAAATCACAGCTACTGGGGACAAAGGCATTATGTGAACATACCACGTTTAGGCTCAAAATATCTGAAATAGATCTTGTCATCCTCCTCACTAACCAGAGATTTTCCCCAACTACTCCCATTCCTGACAGCAGTTCCACTAATGCCTAAGACCCCCCAGACTAGAAATCCGGCTGTCCTCTGATGTTAACCAGCAAGCTGCCAGAAAGTCCCATAATTTACTTTTTCAGTATACCCCTTGAAAATGCATTAGTGTCCATTTCCACTTTCTCTGCCTCACAACAGGCCCACACACTGAATGTGTTAACCACAACCTCGAAACCCCCAGCCCTAGCCTTTCCTGCCTTCAGTCAAACTCACACACTCGGGCTCAGCAAATCTGATGAAGACCCAGCGGGCACTGAACTCCTGGTTCGGCGCATCCTTCAGATAGAATTTATTACGACATCTCAAGAGCCTTAAAAACATCCAAGCATCTTTAAGCTAATGATTCTAAAAATTCTTAGAATTATTTCCAAGGAAATAATCAGAGATAAAGACTTAAGTTTGAGCTATGTAAGGCATTTTCACAATAACAAAGAAACTGAAAAATTCAAAATATCCCACAATAGGAGAACTGCTGAATTGCTTACGATAGTCTCATTTAAAGGAATATTAAGCACTTGGAAGAGTTAATTTTCCAAGAACTATTTAATGGCCTCAGAAACTGTTCATTATTATATTAAAAAAGCAAACCATTTGATAAGAATATAAATGTACTCATTAGTCTGTCTATAGAACGAAAGTGGAAAAAACACAGCAAATTCATAATGGTTGGTTATCTGGGCTCCGAGGGGTTATTTTCTTCCTTACCTTTTTCTAGATTTTTTTTTTTTTTTTAAAGATTTTATTTATTTATTTGACAGAGAGAGACCACAAGTAGACAGAGAGGCAGGCAGAGAGAGAGGGAAGCAGGCTCCCTGCCGAGCAGAGAGCCCGACGCGGGACTCGATCCCAGGACCCTGAGATCATGACCTGAGCCGAAGGCAGCGGCCTAACCCACTGAGCCACCCAGGCGCCCTAGATTTTTTTAATCTTCAAGAATGAACATATTTTCCTTTTACAAGGAAAACAATTTTTAGCCAGCGAAACCAGAAAGAATCTAGGATGAGTGGAGTTCAGACCGTGTGCTTCCTAGGTCCCCACCAGCCCTGCCTTGCAGGATGCACCCATACGCAACCCTGCTCCCCAAAGCCAGGCATCTTACCAACTCATCCCCCACACTGTGCGCCCCTTCTTGGTCCTGCCTAGCTCAGGCTTCCTTCTGAATCTGCTCAGGCTTCCTTCTGAATCTACCCAGCCTTCCAAACCTCACCTCCTCTGCAAAGGTCCTGCCAAATTAGGGTCAGTGTGGCATAGTGTGGGGCATCCATCATTTCTCGGGCAGTAAGCCCCATGCGGGCAGGGACTGGCGGTGCTCCCTGCATCCCTCCCTGTTGCTGGTGCGACACGAACCAACAGCAGTGAGGTGGACCCTGGAGGTGAGCACATGTACCTTATCACGACATCGAACTGGTTCAGGGCATGGCCCAGCGCTAGTCCATGGAGGATTCCGCCACTTCCAATAACCACACAACGCCTACAGCTCTTGGCTCGCAAGTGTTCAGGCAGGTCATGCTCAGGCAGTATCTCCAAGAGGGTCTGGACTTGACTGGAGAACTTCCGGAAACCAAAAGGTGGATCATACTTGTACTCGGCTTCGTTCACCTTGGGGACCTCCTTCACGAAAGGTGGTAAATCTGGGCTGTACCTGTGCTCAAACAACCGGGCCATGGACTTCTTCGCGAACTTGGGTCGGCACTCCTTTCGCAAGACTTGCTGAGCGTACTTCTGAGCTCTCTGGAATGAAATTGCATCAGTCTGAGTTGGGAAAACCTCTCAGGCATTGGAAATATCCTCTTTCACACTGTGTCCTGTGATGTCTGACAGAGCTCCCTGTTGATTTCTGTCTTTCAGCACAAAACATCTGCTTTTGAGAGTTAACTGATGCTCAGAGACATAAAGAAATAACCTGGGAGGGTCACAGGACAGGGAGCTAACCTCAACAAGAATCCTTACTTCGTTATATAAGGAAAGCATGTCCTCGTACCCCCACCTCCCACCCCTAGCCCAAGCTAGCTCCCCAAATTAATTTGGGGTGAGATAACATACTTTGAAGCATCTCATGTTTTATAAAACCTGGCACATGCTACCACAGGGATGAACCTTGAGAACATTATACTAAGTGAAATAAACCAGTCACAAAAGGATTGTCTGATTCCACTTACATAAGGTCTCTAAAGTACCAGAATTTGTAGAAACAGAAAGTAGAATGATGGTTATCAGGGACTGGGGGGGAAGGGGCAAATGGGGAAATGCTGTTTGATGGGTCCACAGTTTCGATTCTGCAAGCTGCTAGAAATCCACTCCATGGCAATGTGAACACACTTAACAGGGCCGAACTGGACGTTAAAAAACGGTTGAGATGGTAAGTTTTATGTTTTTTTTTTAACCACAATTTGATAAAATTTTATATTTCAGGCTCTTATCTAGCAGGAAGAGAAACAGGCTGATTTATCAGTTGGGCAATGAGCTTCATAGAGTCTGGAATGCAAGTTATTCTAAATGTAATCAGGGCACAATGTCATGTCAACATAGAAGTGGTCTTGGTTTTGTACATGAATTTCCCTGCACGTTAATGCTTTGCCTTCATAAGGAATGACCGCTGAAGACCAAGTACAGTCGCCTAGCTGAACGAAGCACCCTGTGACGGGACATGGTCCAAAGGCCCACTCACCCCAGGGCTTCCTCCTGCCTCAATCTAGCCAGATGCTGCCTCGCAACCACTTGGTGGGAAGTTCTCCCCCTCACCACTGTGCCTTTTGTCCTTTTCTCCACATTCAGTAGCCTTGGCCCTGCCTTTCCCCTCCTCCCGCCAGGCTACTATCACACACTTACACACACACACCCACACACTCACATGCCCACGCATGCGTGCATGGGTGTATGAAGTCCCAGAGTTCCTGGGGTATTTATTTTTAGGATTGAATGTGTTTTCTAAACTGTGTCTATACTATTATGAGAATGATTATTGTTGCATATTGTTTTAAATATATGCCCCAACTATGTTTTTCCTCAAAGTTTTATTAGTTTTATTGTCTGGTTCCTATATAACAAATATTTTTGGAGGAAAACACCTATCTTATTATAGCAGAAGGCCCCCTGCTCCTCCCTTTTTGTGTTACAGCTTCAAAGAGTTATCAGTACCTGGGAAGAGCACACAGTCTGCATCTTGAGGACGCGGTCCCGTTTCTGGAAAGGGGAACTGATATTCTCTGGGCACAGAAGATGCTGCAGACACTACACATGGTCACGGTCATGGTCTCCCATTACTGACTCTCCCACACCTTACAATATGGTCATTAGCCTCTCACTCTGTGGGCTCAAGGTGGCATAACCAGTAAGAGGGCTGTGCTGGTGCGCTAACCTGGTCTGATGACTTCCCAGATGCCTAAAACCATAGCCTCTGTCTACATAGAGCAGCAGACAAACACCACCACTGAGACTAAGAGATTAGATACAAATTGGCATCTTCATGAGTATCAGCGGGAAAGCTGTGCAAGGACCAGTCGTGACCCCGAGCAGCACCAGCAAGGAAGGCCCAGCCCACGTCACTCCGCAGCCCGCAGAGACTCGCCACCCTGTCAGCGGGGGCAGGGTAAACAGAGGGCCACCCACAGGACACACGTCTGTCTCGAGACTAGAGGCCTGAAGGTTACAAACAGCAAGTCTTAGAGAACAAGAGGCTGAATCCTTCACTGTAGAATGACATGTCAAGCATCTGCTGTTGAAGATCTCCGAGGACAGAAATGAGCATCTGAGAAGGACCCGGAGGAACACAGAGCAGCTCCGTGATCGGCGCATGACTGGAAAAAGCAGTAGGTGACTGCGCCAGGAACCTGGGCTCGGCTCTCCTGGGCTGCCAAATTTCCTCTTTAGAAGTTTCATTTGGAAGGAGGGAAATTTCATTCCATTTCCATTCTGGCAAAGAGCTCCATTTCAGGCTTCAAATTTAATTTTCTAGGCTAGGAGAAGAGCATAAGGCTTGGTAAGCACCCTCTGACCGTAACTCTCACGGCGGCTTGCAACACAACAATCCCAGGAAGAATAAATGTTCGAAAGGCCACTGGAAACATCTACAATGACAGCAGTTCTTTTTCTCCTTCTGTTTCATCTCATCTAGAGACGTGTTAGAAGCCCTGAGAAAGCCCTGGGGATCGTTTCTTCTAATGAGAAGCTGGTCCAGCCTCTCTCTTGCCTCCTCCATGCTTCAAGGTGCAGCCAAGGAAAGCCTGGGGAGGAGAAGCGTGCCTCGAGGAGCCATGACAAGGAAAGGACTGTGACCTTCCTCTTCCTCCCGCTACAGAAAGCTCCAAAGCTGGGAGCCAAAGCAGGCCAGAGAGGAAGGACGTGGAGAGGTCTGGGTGGCAATCATCCAGGGTGAGGGTCACAGGGGGGGTGCAGAGAACTGGAGACTCTCGCAAAGATACAGGAACTCCCACTCCTCTCAAACCAAGGCATGGAAACGAGGGCTTCGGTTTTTACAAGTCTTCCAGGCTGAGCTCACTGGCCGCCCACAATTAAGACTAAACAAAGAGCTGGTAGTTCCAGTTGTCAGTGAGGTGGCCATCTGCCACAGGAGACCATGATGTGAAAATTCATTGAAGGGTGTTTAAAAAAGTTAAAGTAATTTTCCTCAGCAAAGTCTCCACTTTTGTTTCTACTGCATACTTTTGAGGACAATACTTCTCAAAAATATAAGTAAATGGCATAATTCTTCGTAAAAGGCAATGTTCTCTTTTCTTTCTTTACATCTGGGACAGGGCACAGCACTGAGGCTGAAGCAGAGTTTGGGGGCTGGAGCTAACCAAACTCGGTGGGAGTCCAACTCAGCCACAAACCATCTGAATGTAAGCCATGAGTTACCTCATGAAACTTTCAGTTCCTGCCTGGAAAAGCTGGACCTTCTCTCCTCCTCACCAGGCCACTCTGTGCCCCCGACATTACATGTGAAGACTGGAGTATCATCACAGAACAGCAACCATGGGCAAAGCCACTGCCCCACTGAACTCACGTTCAAGTTAGCCATCTGGAACCTTCCACTGGCTACCAGCAGGGCAAAATCTGAATAACCAAGCCACAGAAAGAACACCACAGTTACAACTCAAGCAGTCAGTGGCAGCCGGGGACTGGTTGCTGAGGGTGCGGACAGAGAACAGGTGAGCAAACTCACTCAGGTGACAGAATGTTCTAGAATTGGACTGGGGTGAAGGTGATGTAACCGTGTAAATGCATGGATGCTATCAAACTGTATGCTTAAGAGGAGTAAATCTTATGCTGTGTATATTTTGTCACAGTAAATGGTTAGGAAAAAACCATCAGAAGATCTGGATGCTAGATACAGTTCTAGATCTATGAGCCAGCAGTGTAACCTTGACTAAAGCATCCAGCCCTAGGTCAAGGCTTCAGTTCCCTCATCTTCGATAATCAAGGATGGTCTGGGGTAAGGGGCCAACACTGAGGAGAGGAAAAAAGCGGTCTAGAGGTGCAGACACCTGGACTAAAAACTCAGCCCAGGTCACTCTGCTTACCTTAGCTACATGAGTGTAGATCTGCAGAGTCAGAGAGAAGTAAATTTGGCCATAATTAACTACACAGCAGAAAATGCAGTCCCCGGGTGGTGTGTGGTTTTTAGCTCTCTGAGAAGAGAGAGGGCCTAGTTCAAACTGTTGCAACCATACGGCCCAAACCTAGACGGACAGGAATGCGCCCTCGTCTCTCCTCAAACAACTTTTAAATGCAATTTCACATCTGCAATGTGCTTTCAAAGTGTCCAAATCCTGACAGGGACCACCGTCAGTCTTTTTAAAGAAATGGCATGTTCAGGGGCATCTTTAAATAGAAAAGACAAAACCCATGACCACCATGGCCACACTTCTGCTGCTGTACTAACACAGGCCGGGGCCAGCACAACCAGACCATGCTCAGAAACAAGGGTCAGCAGGGCCCCCGAACACGGCAGGCTGCAGAGTATCCTCAACAGAGCCAACGGGGCCTCATGGCTTTGAGACCATCTTCTGCTAACCTACATCCCTAACAATTCAAATTTGTCTACTCGCTCTCAGTGGGAAGGACCAAACCCCACCAACATCCTGGAGACACGGTTTTCTTTGTAGGGAGCTCACCCCACCTCACAGCCATTCAGAACACCAGGACCACTTCCTCTACTCTGGGGACTTGAGAGAGGGTTTTTGATTTTGCTTTAGTGAAACATGATCTGATATCAAATTTGGAACTGGCTCAGTGTGGCACTCAAGGCCTTTCCCTCTTTGGTTCTGGCTCATTTTCAGTCTTCTACCCTGCTGTTCCCCCACCCCAATCCTCAGTCATATCCAACTCCAGCTGTACGTCTAATCTGCAAAGCCTTGGGGGGCACATGCTTTCTGCACACACTGCTCCCTTGGCCTGGAATGAAGCAGGACAACCTGTCAGGACCACTGTGAAAAGTGGGGCATTCTGACAGTGTCAACAATGTGAAAAACCTATAAAAAAGAGTCTCAAGTAAAAAAATTAAAAAACACCCCTAATTCCACCATGGTCATAGCAGGCCTTCCCTTTCTACTTTATTAATTTCTGAACTGACCAAGGCTTTCAGAAACACGTTGCACTTTTATAACTACCCCCTGAGTCTTTCATCTTTCTCCATAACTATAGAGAACTTTCTACTTTATTCATTTCTGTATTATTTGAAGTTTTGGTGTTACTTTTGTAACTGGAAAAAATAATGATCTTTTAGATTT